GGACCTCTTGATCTGCAGTCAAATGCTCTACCACTGAGCTACACCCCTACCTCTGGATGTATATAGATGAACTTTTATAACTGAACATGATTTGATCAATTGATTTCCTCCACTTAGCTCAAATGCTAGAGTGCTCCCTTAGCATGTGAGAGGTAGTGGGATCCATAGCCACATTCTCCAACAACCCTGTTTTTTGTAACCACAAAAATTCTCACCTTTTTACTAATTTCAGTGGTCGCCAAGTCACCACATTTTAAAAAACCTTCTTAGTTCTGTCAGGATGGCCGAGCGGTCCAAGGTGCTGTGTCCAGGTTGCAGTTTCCACTGGAGGTGTGGGTTCAAATCCCTCTCCTGACAGAAAACTTTGAGGGAAATATGTTACATTTATGTCTTATGTCGGGGATGTCAAACTGATGCCCTTGAGGTCTGCTGTTTCATTCATCGGCACACCATATTCTGATAAAACTATATCCCCTCTGGATATTGTTGAGCTTTGCACTGGCCTACTAATTGCTATGTCTCTATTCTCCATCAAGCATTTCATATTCAGGTGAGTGAACACAGCACATACGTGTTCCTACACAGAATAACTAAATGTTACTGCACATTTTAGCTCTTTTGGAGAAGCAACAACACTCATCTTCACTCATCTAGTGACTCATTCCTCCATGGGGGGCAAAGCTCTCTGCTGGGTTTCAGATTGTGACCAGTAGGGGGCAGCAGAGCTCAGATTAAACAGGCTAGCCTCCCATTCAGGAAAAAAATGTTTATGTGGAAACTTTTGTTTGTTCATGTGTTCAGATGCTGCCGTTAGGACGAAGAAAAATCCCTTAAACCTTTAAATAGATCCATATCATCTGAATCAGGTGTGCAGAAGCTGAAACATTGCAAAGAAGAGCAGAGTTTGACCTGCTGCCTTTGGAGGAGACTCAGGCTGAGCCCACTGTGACCAGCAGGGGGCAGCAGAGCTCAGATTAAACAAGCCGGCCTCCCTTTGAGGATTTGAATAGCTGGAGAGATCCTGAATAATTCCATTCAGGATCCATTCAGCCTTTAAAACCTGAAAACATGGAGACTTATAGTCAGACTTATAGAAGCAGCTGCAACAATGAGAAACCTTCTGAGTAAAAAGTGGAAGGATTTAGTCTCTTTGGGCTTAAATGAAAAGTTCAGCTGTGCCAGCAGGAGCTCAGATACACAAAGGCCAAAGAAGCTGAGACTCTGGGAGGAAAAGAAGGAGAAACCATCTGAGACCATCCCTCAGAGCCACACACACTCACCTGGATGGGGAGGAGCTACGTCCAGATGGATGGTGAAGGTGGTTTCTTGAACATTTCTCTGTTTCTTTCTTGTGTCTCACTGACTCTACACTGATATGTTCCTGTATCATTTACGGTCACATCCTTCAGAGTCAGAGACACGTCTCCATCCTTCATCTGTCTGTCCTGCAGATCCACCCGGTTCCTAAAGGTCTGACTCAAAGTGACCATCTCTGTACAAAAACACAACATCTGGCCTCAGATCAGGTCTGAGCGCTCTAAAGCTGGGATGGTTCTCTCCTCTCCAGCTCCACAGGTCATCCAAGCCTTCTGTCCAGCTTCAGCTGTTGATCTTCTGCCCTGCAGAGAGGAAATAACACAGAGCAGAGAGGTTACAGAGCTCAAAGTGGACCTCTTTACATCAACAGCAGCACCAGAGAGAGGACACCCCAAAGAACCCACCCTCTGATCTGATCTGGACCTCAGAGGTTTTTCTGATCCAGAGGATTCTCTTAAACCTGCCCAACTTTCAGCATCAGATGTATCTGAAGATGTACTAAGGAGGCCCTGTTCTATGTGTTAAACCCACACCGCAGCCATCACAACGTATTTAATGGAGCAAACACACAGCTCCCACTCAGTAGAATACGTTGACTAGATATTACCATATCAATTCATTTCAAACCTTTTTCTGAAGGCCACAATAACTGTGCAGGCCCACAGCAATGCATGATGGGAAATGAAAGCTGTGAAAACCATCCAGATCTTGTGTAGCATTTCAGATGAACACATTCCCAGGTGCTCATGGAATGTGAAACTCAGTAAAAACAGACTTTTTAATACAGTCATTTCAAAAATAAATCTAGCCTTGGGTTAAATTTGTATATGTTAGGCTAATTTTAGACCTGTGAGTCTGTTGATTATCTTAGTGAAAGGCACTGACATGTTGTTTCTATTGTCATGTCTATCTGTTGCTCCGAGCCATTTAAAAGCCTTCTCCTGTCTACATTAATGTGCAACAGGCCCAGGTCATCTTCAATCTTCTAACCCAAGATTATGTTTGATTGTTATTTTAATCACTGAACCCGAAGTTCATATAAAAAAGAAGTAAATTAAAAAACAGCTCGCTGTCGGGGAATCGAAACCCAGTCTCCTGCGTGACAGGCGGGGATACTCACCACTATACTAACGAGGAGATGACATCATGGCAGTGTTGATGAATTCACGGACCAATCGTAAAGGTGTACTCTACATATTTATTTGGTTTTCCTTTTATATTGGTTGGATAAAGTTTGTTGATACTCACCACCATACTAACGAGGAGATGCCATCAACATAGTTCTGATGCATTTACGATCGGTCCATGAATGCATCAAAACTGTTTGACCCAAGAATCTGTGCTTATACTTTGCCCAAGAAGTCTCAAACCTCCACTTTTTCCTCATGTTATTATTTAGTACTTTATTAGCCTTTTGCATCCTCGTTTTCTG